CCGCTTTTCTGGGCTCTCTCACCTATACATAGCGCCTTGGGACTAAGCTTAGGGGATAGGGAGACCCGGGATGGGTAAATCAGGCACCGTGTGACGAAGATGAAGCGTGTGAGATCACAGGGTGGGTGGCTTACTCACACGTAGCCTCCTCTCCCCTAAAGCTTAGTCCTGATCGCGATCTAATCACTAGGAGGGCGCAGACGAAGAGAATAAAGGCGCAAATGGAGCTAGCGCCAAGAATGAATGTCATATTCGTAATCAGGACACCAAATAACCCCTACCCAGAAGTTTACATCGAATTTGGTGAAAACAGGTGTCGTGACAAGGTGACGCCAACTGGCGCCAGATGGCGCCATCGCCAAAAATGAATGTCATTTTCGTTATCAGTGCCGTTCTTTTCATTCAAATAAATAATCATTAGCTGAATGTATGTGTTTCTTCACTAGGCAAGTGCCGCCGCAGGATAGTTGTGCGACGTGAAAGCGTGGGAGAACGAGATGTTGGTTATCTGAATAGGAAAGACATTTTTTACACTGGAGCGATTACGAGCGTAGACGAGTTCAAGGAGGATCCGGATAAGTACAGGTGAGTGTAGTTAAGGATCTTGGCTGAACCATTTTATGTATGTCCCAAAGGTTCACTGTGAGTTGCGCGCTCCAAGTTTTCGCCGCAGTCAGTGCAGCCTCTAAAACGAGGCGCTGTAGCAGAATATTTATTGGTGCCGGTTGTTCGGTTGTGGTCTCATTCATACTCAGTAAATTGGATTCGGAGATCTATGGATGGTGTCTGGTACGTAACAATGGCGTAATCGAAAAAAAAATAAGAATGCGAAAACCTAGAATAAAGCAACATGAAAACCTTCAAAAATCATTTGCAAGTGTAAAAGTCTAGGATTCTGCAATAAGGAGTAGATGGAAAACGATTGGTTTCGATCTTCTTCTTCTTCTCCTTCTTCAAAAAAGACGATGACATATAGAGGATACGAATGTTTTTTGTGTCGTTTTTTCGATTCTCCGCTTAACGCTAAGAATCATTCATCTAAAGTTGACAGCGTCATAGTTAGACAAAGTGATTAGATGCATTAAAAAAATACCAGTTGGCGCCGCACGCGTTGCGCGCACAGCACAGTTCTGCGGCGATATGGATGGTGCGGCGTAAATTTTCGAATTTGGCCCAATACACTTCGAATATTTGACTTTCAAGCTGAATTCTATCCGATTGCCCCATGCTTCATCCACCGATGGCTTTTGACCTTCCCTCCTTCGTCCACCAATTGTCCGCCTTCGTCAACCAATTGTCCGCTTTTCCCGGTCTCGGACTGCCTCTGGACCGATTTATGAATCTCGTGGTAAACTCCGCCTATTTCTTTGCATGTCCCACCTATCTTTTTCTTCCTCGCCAACCTCTCCCACTTTTTACCCGATCTCTGAACTATCTCTGAGCCGATTTATAATTTTGGCGGCGAATCCTGCTTTTTTGGTGTATCCTCCGCACACCATTAGAAATTCACTTCCTTTCCTTCGCCCACTTCTCTCCCGGTCTCCAGGACTTCTTGCAGCCGAGTTACAAAGTTTTCGTGGAGAACTCCGCCCACTTTGGAAATGCCCCGCCCACCAACACAGTTGGGCTCCACTCCTTCACCCACCTCTATCCACCTTTTTCCCGGTCTTCTTGGAACCGAGTTATGAATTTTCGTCGCAAACTCCGCCCACTTTGGTCATGCCCCGCCCACCAATGACAGCTGGCCTCCACTCCTCCACCCACCTCTATCCACCTTTTTCCCGGCCTCCGGGACTTCTTGGAGCCGAGTTATGAATTTTCGTCGCAAACTCCGCCCACTTTGGTCATGCCCCGCCCACCAATGACAGTTGGCCTCCACTCCTCCACCCACCTCTATCCACCTTTTTCCGGCTCACTAAGACTTCCTCCGGCCCGAATTATGAGGACTTGTAGAAAACGCTGTACACTTCAGAGCGCGCTCCGCCCATTGTGGGTGGGCGGACCTCCGCCACGTCGTGGACTAC